AAAAGGTGGAAGTTTATTGGAATAGTGTCAAAATATTCTTCTTGATAGTAATACATTTGCAGATTTTGAGAAATTGTCTTTCCAAAGCGCCTTCAGCTGGAGTCCTGACTAGAACCAAAATGTTTATGATCACATTAGTCCAGTTCTCAGGTCTCCGCACTGGCTTCCTGTGGCACAGATATAATTATTCATGATTTTAATGCATATATCATTATTTCTATCTTGCTTTTTTAGGCACTTTGAGTTGCCTTGTGTATGAACTGTGCTATACAAAAAAACTTGCCTTGCCTTACGTATTTTTTTTTTAGGTTTGATGTATAACAAATTAAGTATTAAAGTATAATCATAGTTAAATATTTACCTAAGATCCTCTTTGCAATTATCTCAATCAATCCTACGTCTTTTAAAGCTATCTTTCCCAGTACGTTTTATTTGACGAGGCATTAGCTTTCAAAAAACGAAAATATCGCCAAGTTTTCTCCAGAGAAATGAGAGCCATGACTAACCATTCTTTACACAACTCACACAAGAACCAGAGCAAACAGCTATTAGTAATTGCTTTTTTATTTGATCTTTTTTTGTTCTTTTTTTTCCAGATAGATCACAATGAACACAGCCTTTAGACAATAGCAGTTGAAATAATCCATACAAATGAATGCTTCTGGTTGCGTGACCAGTTGCCCGTTGCAGCGTGGAGCCTTTTGTTCTTGTCAAGGGAGAAAGACGTCACTCACAGACATTAGGTGCAATTAAAAAAACAAAAAAACAACAGCATTGTGTAACTGTGTGAGTTAATACAAAAGGAAGAGAAAGCTAGAGTCTGTCTATATGTGCATCACTGTTTCACTGTCAGATAACGTGTAGCTGGATCGCAGAAGGCAATAGATTGTGTTCATGTGATATTAAAGCCGGGGTGCCTAACTTTCAAACCACAAAACAGAACTATGCAGTAAATTCCAGCAAAATTGTTTCTCGAGCTCTTAACACTGGCCTCTTTCACGTAGAGATTGCGCTCAACCTAAAGGGTCAAATAATGACTGCCAGGGCTATTTCTAACAAGTTCAAAGTTTTATTATAAGATGAAGATCCAATTCTTTTTTCACAAGGTACAGATGGAACGAACAAGATGCATTTATGAAACATGCTTCCTAATCCAATTTGAATGATGTTTGGAAATTTTTCACAAACATGGGTTGGTTTAGGGTTAGAAATGACAAATTGTGATAAAGGCCAAGATAATCATGCAAAAACGAGCCATGTACCAAACAGATTTTCTAAGAACCATTTTGTTGGGTTTGAACAGATAGTTCCACTTTTTGCAGTTCAAAATCAGTTACACCATACGTCAGAAAGAGATTAGGCTTTTTACTATCCGACAAACCAAACGTGTCAGCTTGCAATGATGGCAAAGTGCTCTCCGGCCTCAAAACGTTGCGAGAAATTCAAAATTGAGAGCTCACGATTAAAGTATTTTTTAATTCTTTCTCCAAATGCTCTTTATTTCACATGAACACAAGCTATACATGCGGCGAGTCTGGAGCAGGAATATCACCACACCACTCTCATGTTGAGTAATGCGCTGCCAGTGTGTTGTAATTAGACAATAATGAGAGACCTGTGTGGCTCAAACTCCTACTATGCTGCGACCTTAGCGGCAGCCTGTGCTCGATTACACAGCAAATAGCCTGAGAAAGGGGCCATGGCTTTGTACAGAGAAGACCTTCCATTGGAGCCAGTCCATTTCCTGCCCAAACGCTCTTAGGCAGACAATGCCCTGGACCAAAGGGAAGGTGGGGGGGAGGTACCATTAGAGGGGACAGGACAGTTATAAAGTGCTGAGACTGGTGAGCAGGATGACACATGGTTTTGTGTTGTTGTTGCATTTGTTTAAATCTCTATTACTATGAAAGCAAAAATCAAATAATATGCAGATTTCAATATAAAATGTGTGTAAGAGCTTGTGTATCAGTAATAGTAATGGCAGCTTGGTTAGATAACAGTCCTACACACTCTGGGTGAATCGTTGAATAAGGTGAAAATAATTATTTAGGGCCGGGCCGAGAAAAGGAAAGATCAGAAAATTGCAATCTAAGTTTTTTGCAATCCAATTAAATTAACATTAAAATTAAGACAAAATAATCATCTTCAATGTTCTTCAATGTTTAGCTGGAAACTCAGCACGAGTATATCAACATTTATTTAACCAAAAAAAATGTATTGAAAAATTATATCTACATTTTTTGAATACATTTTAATGTTGAAGAAATTATTGTTTGAATTTGATTTTGTAAAAATTTTTTTTTTCTATATATACTTTTCCTCCCAGATCGCTCAGCCTTATACCTATAGAATTTTTGGAACAAATGACGATATAAAAACATGATTTAGTCGAACTGCATCAAAGAACTTCTACAACAGTTTGCTTTATGGCAGGGTAGAAGTAGCGGGTTCCTATATGCCCATGAGTGAGTAAAAACTAGGGTAGCCTGCCTCTTTGCAAGGGTAACGCAACGTGCAGAATCCTGTGCACAGTGAGATAAAAAATAAAATAAATTTCAGCAATGAGTGTCACATCTGCCTCGTAATTGTTTTGCTCCAACTTAAAGCCATTACGTTGAAATAGCGGTGTATTTGTGTGAGCGGCAGTGAGATGCTAAACTGCCTGTCTGCTCGGCGCTGCATGTGCGTTTTGTTAGGATCACAGTTCCAGTTCTAACTTTGAAGAGCCCATTTCAGCGCTATATGCTCCATTTGCGTGATGCGTCTCATAAAATGCGATTGATTTATCCTTATATTTTCCCAGAAGTAGCAGCAACAAAAACAGCTTGAGAGATACTGTGAAATCCTGTCAGCTTGCTTTTAATAAATATTTAAAAAAAAGAAAAAACACCTGGTTTGCGAAAGTGTTGCTTCTGGAAAGGGATAAAGCAAAAGGGGGTTGCACTATTTTGAGTGTATGTATAAAACCTGTAAATGTGGGTGTTAAAGAGCATCCAAAGTCACTGTTCCCTCTAATGGTTCTAGTAAAAGATTGTGGTCACATTTTTCAAACACGTCTAGTCTAATCACCTACTGTTCTGCTTGATTTACCATAAGAGCAGTATTAGAAAAAGCAGGTAGTGGCCGAAAAGCGCCAACATTTGAAAAATAAATGTATATTATATCTTTTAGAAAGCCTGACTGTGAAGACATTTGCTTCTATGTCCCTATACAGCGAAACATATTAACGGTAAAGAATGGGGTTTTTGAAGTATACACACAGAAAGGACAGACTGCTGGAGACAGAACCTCTTTTGGTCCGTATTAGAAAAAAGCACATTCGGGTGGACCAGGGCTTCAGAAGCAGTCTCTCCACACAAACAAGCTCTCCGCAGAGACAGTAAGGCAGTTTGATGATCACCAAGGAAACCACTCCACTTTCCATATGGCAGATTTAGTTTTTTTGGAAAGAAAGTTGAAGAAAAACAAATGAAGGAAATGAAAATGAACACAAATGACGCACACAAGTTATTGTTAACAAAAATAGCTGCCCTGTAAAAATCTGCTCAGTACAAATTTTCAAACGGTTGTCTTGTGTTTGTTGCTTTTCATCATCAATTTGAATCGTGGTTCGGATCAGCTGGCTCACTTTGCTTTAACGGTTGTTTTGGATTCGGACCCTGGGTAAAAAGAGGCAACATCTCAAAAGCATTGCAGAGTAGAAGGAAACACCAATGAAAACCCAAACTAAAGCAAACTCACAGAGTTCGACAGCTACTAAGGCAACTTTTGCCAAATACAATATAAGCCCATGTATATTGCAACACAACTATATATTAATTTAATAAAATACACAATATAGCTTTTGTACACATAACAATTTGGCTCAAATGCACAGAAATTGCAGTAAAATTAATAAAAATATGTCAATTTTATGTAAACACACCTAAATTGGATACATTTACACAGTTAATGTTATTATGTATAGTGATAATGTGAAGGGACATTTTCTTGTTTATGTTTTTGGATAGTTGTACTTGAAACAATGGCAGTGCCCTTTGCAGTTCAACAAGTTAGTACGCCGCTCTTCAAATTTTTCTTGAGGACACTTTTTTTGCTGAAATTCCTCACTTCTTTTTCTTAAAAACGTATAAATATTGTGTTAATATTTGGACACTATACATGGATTCATACATATAAGTCATCTATATCGTCGTATAGATAGCATTTTTTCACAGTTGAGAAATATGTCCCTTTTATACAGCATGTGACATGAGCTCACTGTACACTGGAGTGGAAGCTGGACGCAGACGTACACAGATGAGTGTTAGTGGTCAGTCCGTGTTCAGTGTCACTACATGAATGTTTAAATAGAGGCGTGGGACAGACACAGCTTACACATGTGGCTACGAATGATGCTGAGATATGTAAATCTTACAAGTCTCCCTCTGTCTCCTAGGTCCAGAACCACCAGTTAGACCAGCCTGATTACCCTCCACCCACAGAGCTATCATCACATCCACAAGTTTGAACAAAAGGTTTGTACATTTGTCCTTCACTGTCCAAACATTAGAATTTTCACATCGATTGTCATGTTTGACCATAATAGTCCTTTTCTCTGTCTATGGCCATTGCACAACAGAAATCCACCTACACACACTTTTGAAGGATTTCACGAGAGAACGTGGACAACACACTTATGAGCTGGTGGGCACTTCGATAATAGATGTCAGAGGCATAAGCCTCTGCCATTAGTTAAAGAACAAAAAAGTCTATAAATTCTTTTGTTACACAGTTCCATATCCTTGGTAGAATAGGAGCACCGAAAGTGGTGCTAAGTGACTGACATAATAAATGTTCCCATTGTTCATTCAATGTCAGTAGTTTTAGCAACAAATACAGTAAAAAGAGCTCCTGTAATGAGATCATGTGTGATTTGTTTTGGTGACAGTTTTGGCTTCATAGTTTATTGGAATAGCACTGTATTCCGTCGGTCGTAGTGTCCGTGTGCAGTCCAGAGGTCACTTCCTGAGTGTGCCTGTGGACTCACTTCCTCTGCAGTCCTGTAAGAGTTTGTCGATGTCCCGGACCACTTGGTCAGCGTCCATTCCATCACCACCGTCCGGCTCCCCCTGCTCCAGGACGGTTTCCATCTCACCCACTGCTTCTTGGTGGATCCTGGAGCGTGCCTCGGCCAGCACCTTGGCCACAGGGTCATTGGGCAGAGGCGGGTACACCCCATCTCTCTGTTTGGTGGGTGATAAAAATTGTCCATCAGGAGGTCCATAGTGGCCAGAACAGGTAACGGGCGGAGGCTTTCCCTCAGCCCCATCCGCAGGGCTCTTCACCGCAGCACAGGAGGCCATGGTGGAGCAGCCTTTTGCCGGACTGCTGGAAGCGGAGGGAACCTCCTGGAGCAGGGGGCTCAGAGCACGTTTGGCCTTTAAGTACGGCTTCACATTTGCCACCAGGATGGTGTGGTCCCGCCGCTCTTTACCAAAAGTGCAGAAAGTCTTTTTGCCATTGGGGTTGACAGACTCGAAGTTATCCGTTTCGGGCACAGTCTCCATCCCTGCTGGCACAAACATGTTGTTCCTGTAGTCCACACCCTCTGCCTGGTTTCCTCCAGCCGGGAACTTTGGCATCCAGCAGCGGTCTGAGTGTCCCAGGACACGGCACTCATCTGTGCAGTTCACACAGTCTTCATCTGAAACAACAAAGAAAAGGCCATTAGGAGAGAATACACTGCACAACCAACCCACACTGTGAGAAGAAATACAATCTTACGCATATTAAAAAACAATCTTTACAAAGAGTTGTGTTAACAGAAGTCAGTGCTAATCACTCTGTCCATGTGGTAACTGCTGTGAACCCGGACTAATGTACAAATGTACGTCCACACAGACACCTTTCTGAGGGACTGGGGACACCTGCAAACTCTTTCCAAAGCTCTGATCAGGAGGATGGCAGCGCATACACAAAAACTGGAGGAAGGGAGAAAAACAACAACAGTTGAAGTTTGGCAAAGGCGCAGTGGCGTTATCATAAATTCATGTCAGTGGGCTTTGAAGCCCTCCCCAGACGTGCGCACTGTGCCAAATGGCTTGTGCTTCTTGTGTGTTTGCCTGTTTATTTGTGCTCTCACTGTTGTGTGCTGCTGGCGCGCACACGTGTGGGTTGGTGTGCTCACGTCTTTCATCTATTCAGAGGAAAGCACTGGCTGATTATGGTAGTGTTGAACTGATCCAGGACTTGGTAAAAACATTAGAGAAAGAAGAGCACATTTTCGCTCTCGAGGGTGTGAAGTAAAAGAAGACCAAAAATAAGCATCTGCTATTTCCCACAAAATAGAATACTTCATTGACTGAGTGGAACCCAGTAACCACAAGGAATCACTGCAGTGAGACTGGCACAACTCATATTCAATGTCACTGAACTCATTGAAGTATAATCCATTCCTTTCTGAACCCCTTCAAATTAATTTAAACCATGCAATACAACCTTACTCCAACTCTTATTTGCCTGAGCTGTTACCTCAGGACACCACAACCAATCATCCTATTTGCTAAAGTGAGATTACTCCACATGGCGCAGGTTAAACAAATTTGAGAAAAGCAATAACACATCAGCACTTCATCTCCCTGCAGTAAATTTCCAAAACGTCGCTTTAGTCTGTGCCTCTGAACAAATGGCAGCATCGACGCAGACTGCTTTGCATATTGGTTTTAAATGATGCATCCTCTCTATTGGTGCTGCCAGACAATTTAGCATTTTAGACCTAGACTGGCAAGATTTTATGCAAGACATAAAAGTTGAGTTTGAAGAGAGGTTTTAAGTTTGCAGGGAATGTTTACCCACAGGAAAATAAATCATGGATAAAGCCATACAGTGGAAATACTTCAGATTGCTACTTCAAAGAGCAATCAACTTCAGTCAACTATGACCTTAAAAAAGACTTGCCTCAGTCAGCAGACGCAAGTTCATGACTAGAAATCAAAGTAGCTTACATATATGTGTGATTTAATTGCATCCTGTGCAAGTGAGAAGGGCAATTAGATGCAACGCAGACAATCAATACAAGTCTTCACCTTAGAGCCTTCCCTCGCACATCGGAAAGAATAAATGATGATGAAGCTCCGAGCTAGAGGCAGAAGCGTTAAGCCTAGCGTACATCGGACTGGCAACTGATTATATCCGTCGCCTCTGAGTTGCTGCCCCGCACACATCGACAATCTGGCGAAAACGGGCAACTCTGAGTCGCAGGCCAGTCTCTTGAATAACAGCGCGTACATCGACAGCAACTGGCCTCAACTACAGTGTGTTTTCTGACAACAAACTGTTGCGGGCTCGCAATACACGCAATACACACACGTTGTTGGAGCGGCGCATGGAGCGCGCACATCGGGGCAACTGAGGACAACTAGTTGCCGAAAAGTAGAACACGGGCAACTGACTGGAACTGGAGACCGACTGATCATCTCCAGTTGTAAGAGCGCGCACATCGACCGATTTCGGCAACTGATCATCTCCCACCATCTCCTCTCAGTTGCCAAAAGCCGCCTTGCAACTAGTTGTCCCCAGTTTCTCTGTCGATGTACGCTAGGCTTTAGGTGATCGGTTGAGGTTTAGGTCAAGTCACAGAGGAGCCATGTGTAGAAAGAAAAAGTGAAAGCCGAAAGCTGAGAAAAGTGCAAATATTTCTAGGTAGATAAACATTTTGCTTCCATTACATAGAAGCAAAATCTTTGTAACGGATTCAATGTAGATGTTGAGGGAGAATAATGTGAAGGAGTGGAAGATTGTGCAACAAATGAAGTAGGTGGATTTACGGATGTCTTTTTTATTTATTATCTCATCAAATCAATGACATCAGGTCCAGAACACTGCTCCAATCCAGTATGAACATGTACTTATGCAAGAGAAAGGTTGGTGTTTACCTAAGTCACTGCTGCAAGGCTATCAAAAGCTTTCTGAAAAAAGGTATGCCTTTTCTATGCCATGTATTTTCAGATCCATGTTGCACAAATAGTTTTGACTAAAAGAGCAACACTCTGGTTCTGTGAACATATTTTAGGTCCCAAGGCTCCACTCTAGTCAAGAAACCATTCATGCCAGAGCTAGAGCTTTGTTTTCCCAGAGTAGCGTGCATTCTCTTTTCTTCTTGGTGCCTTTTTGGAATCATGCCACTTATAATCTCACGCAATTCATGTCTGTGGACTTTGCAATTTTTCCCCACAATGAATCCAACGGTGTGATAGGGCTTTTCGAAAACAACTCACCGTGTAGATTCTAATTGTGTACCGGATTTTATATGCTTTTCCTTGATGGCAGATTTTAAAACGTTAGAGCCAGCTGCACTGTCCCTACCACCGCCTTAGATCTGCCAACTCCAGCGTAACCTCCTCACTCCCATCAGAAAAAAGTACCCAACCTTTTCCAAACCTTACTGAAAACTCTCTCCCGCAACACATCAGGAACTCGGACTCACTTCATCACTGCTCAAAACCCATGTGTTCAAGACTTATTTACTTCATATAAACCTGTCCCTTTGGGTTTTTTATCTTTATTTTAATTGGGACAGAGCACCTTAATCAACATGTAAATGTGCCAGAGTTAGCCATGTAGGCTATTTTTCATCCATAGTCCCATGGCAGGTTGACATCAAAACAGATAAAATATACATACAACAGACACAAACACGCAGAAACACACCATCACAAAGACACAACAAAACAGATGCCTTTGTAAAGCATCTTTGAGTGTCCAAAAACTTGTGAGTCTTGTCTTTAATTCGATTAAACACATTTTTCTATGCCCCTGAATCACAACATTTGTCGTCTTGGAGGACTTTCGCCAAGAATGTTGATTTGCCAACAAAGATCAGATAATCAAACACAGGAAATTCAATAAAAACAAACACCAAGAGCCATTGGTCCATAGAAATAAATGTTAATAAATGTCAAAAATTATCCTTAAATGTCCTAGATCATCATTTCTGTCCTTAGACCCTCCTGCGTTTCTTGGCGTACGTATTTCTGGTTCTCGTGTGGACCTATAATACGAATAAAAAAAATTAAAATGATGATATTATTAATGTGTTCAGACAGACACCAAGGCTATCCCTTCTCCTTCGGCTGTTGTGAGAGATAGAGAGCTAGTAACGCGAGCCTATCATTCCCATTACCGAGCCTTGCAGCTGCCTTTAAAGACCACAACCTCTAATACAATCTCGCGCTGATGCCAATGAGCACGGCAGAGTGGACTCGCTCGAGTGCACTTGGTCAGCCTGTCTTCTTTGCACGGTGTTGCGGGTCAGCGGGCCTCGCATTCCTCCGAGACTGCCCTCCTAAGCTGCAGAGATGAGCTTAGCACTTCACAAATGTTTGAAGAAGCCAAGCAGCGGCGGTGACATTTTTCCCATGTCGAGGTGAGCGAATGGAGTGCGCTTTTGGAGATGGACTGTATTTAATAACCGTACGGGTGAGGGAATACATCAGAGGATGAAACAACAAAAAAAAGAGTTATTTACGGTACATTGTGTGTGGGGATGAGAGATCGGCTGGACGGATAAAAAAAATTGGACGTCAACAAGGCTGAGGTCAATGATTCCAAGATTGAAAAGGGTGCATAAATGACTCTTCAAAGAGAACATGTGATTTCTAAAGTCCATCAAAGCATTCATCAAATGTTGACCAGTGTGGAGTTTGCAAGACAAAGACAACACTGGGAAGACACCAACAGGATGAGCTGAAACATGGACACATTTGAATTGCATGAGAGTCTTTCCGTCATGAATAAGCAACGACTTGGACAATGGCCAGGATACTGTATTCATGCATGCATCCACTAGCATATTCAGCGGCTTACCAATTCAACCAGAAGTCTCTATTGAAATGACTTAGGATAGCGCTAACCACTACGCCAAAATGTATTAGGGGTTTGTCTGCATCATAGTTAGTTACACTAGGAAAAAAATGAATTTGATAACTTCTGCACGGAATATTGGCATTTTAACAAAAAAAGTAACAAATATGCAGATAAAGAAGCACCATTAAAAGCTGGGCTACCTTATTATAAACTGTAAAAATTGTAATCAAACACGTTGTCACTAGTTCCTGCTTCTAAAACACAGAAAAACCTTAGATAATTTTTTTGTATAGTCCAAAATTTCAACAGCAGATGTCAATTCCTCAACAACAGATCAAAAAATCAAACCGTTCGAACTCAGGAAATGACTATATACTGTACATACGTATGAGGCATTGGTCTATACGGGGAAGGATGACCAATGTTGATACATGTTAATAAATACCCTCCTGCAAAGATGAAAAGGTAAGGACCGCCCCTACAGAGTATCAGCCTAAAGAGTCCAATAGTGACTCATAGGGCTCTTTTTTACACATATGCAAAATATAACACGTTTTCTAATAAGATAAAGACAGCGTTCTGTGGTTTGTTCACAAAATGTTTCCAAAATGTTATTCCAGCTTGAAATAATACATGTTCCCTATTATTATTCATAGCTCAAAACAGTGCATTTTCATTATCATTTATTTTGCATTTAGTCCGGGCAAGTTTTGTTATTGACTGTATCTAGCCTTAGCATCTACCTCATACCCATCATACCCACTGTGCTCTCGTGCACTGCATACCAGACATGAGTAATTGCCATGAATCTTTAAGTTATGGTCTATTCACCACATGCTTATTAACACATATACTTAATCTATGCAGACACAGTTCCTTCTGTTTAGATAAGGGAAATCTCTGATAGATTATTTATGCCTAGAAAGCACGTTGAACCTTCCGGTAATTCTCTCGTATCTATGGCTAACAATATGACATGTGCGAGTAGAGGTGACATTCATCAGCCAGCCCACCCCCCTCCAACCAGCCACCTCCCCCCCTCCCTCCACCCTCCGCACGGCTCTCTCTGCCTCACTAGTGAAATTGGCAACACTATCCAGCTCACCAA